GCCATCTCTTTGACCATCGTGCTTGCGACATGTCGCCTTCCATGCGTGCAATGATTCTTGTCTTCCTAGCCAAGGGGGGAATCCGACGGATCTTATTGCCTGCCCCTCTCGGTCTCCTGATGCATGTCGTCCTCTTGCCATGGCCAACACTGACTGTAAGCTAATGTATGTGGCGTTCTCTTCCCAACTGGAGAAAGAGGCGCGCGAGTGTGCACAGAAGGTTCAGGCTTGCATCCGAGGGAGGTCCATGACAGACCAGATTATTGAGGCGGGGTGCTGGGGGGTTCTGCAGTGTATGACAGGGAGGGACCTGGCTTGCATGTTCCTGACCGACTTTGCTGCTGCGTTTCCGAGCATTGCGATTTCCTGGCTCCTTCAGGCGTTGGTCTTGATGGCTGTTCCTCCTGGAGTTGTTGGTTTTTCGGGTCGCTGTACTCCGATAACCTGGGGACCGTCTGCTTTGGTGGGAAGCGTCACAGAGCGATTCGCCTGTTACGGGGTGTTCGCCAAGGGGACCCGTCCAGCATGCTGCTCTTCGCTCTCGCTCTCGGCCCGTGCATTCGCTGGCGTTGTTGTCGTCTCCCTCGGCAAATCTTGGCATATGCTGACGATTTGTGGTTCGGGCTTCGGGATGTGAACGCTGATCTACCGATCCTTCTCCCGCTACTTCAGCGTCTGCATCATGGGATTGGGCTTGCTCTGAACATGAAGAAGTGTGTACTGATCCACTGTGGTCTGAGCCTTTCTCCGCGTTCGTCTCGACTGATTCGCAGGTTACTCGCTAGTCTTGGGAATGGGGCTGATGCCATTGGGTTGGTTCGGCATGCTCGATATCTTGGGATCCAGATTGGTCCAGAAGGTTGGAAGCACGCGTGGGGCACCGCTCTGCAGAAATTTCATCAGCGGTGTATTGAGATTCGGAGACTTCGGATTGGGCTCGCTATGACTATTAGAACGTACGTGATAGTTGCCGTCTCGGTTCTCAGGTTCGTGAGGCAGTTCTATCCTCCGTCGTCGGCGGTTCTGAAGCGCGAAGGGAACATGCAACAGAAACTCATGGCGGGTCCTCGGTTTGCCTTCAACAGACTGATGTGCACCAGGATGTGTGACCTCGGCTTATCGTTGGAGTTCTCTGATCTGGCCCAGATCGGCATTGCTACTCAGGTTCGTCTTGCCCACAACAGTGCTGTATTCCCGCGAATCCGTGGTCAGATTCTTGGTCTTCCCCAGGAGGACGATTTCCACCCTGCTCGGATGCGGCATCCTTGGTGGCAGCACACGTTCTGTCGGTCTCCGATTGGCATGTGGAGTGGGCACATCCACTTGTGCGCTGGCTTTCTTCATGCCTCGGGGTTTCAAAAGAAGCGCACGCGAATCCTTCGTGTCCGTGCTCCTCCGATCTCTCCTATCCGCTGCCTTCGCGCCCGGGTGGCCCGATGAGCCCCTGGGGTCTCAGTCGCCCAGATCTCTGCCGCCGTTCAGGTTGTCCGCAAGGTTTGCAGGGCCAGTTCTCTCTATCTGGGGCTCGCGGTCTTACGTGTCCTGGCGAGGGGTGTCTGTACCAGTGCTAGATTTCATCATGGGCCTATCGGATGCTGCTGGAACTGCGGTGCCCCTGGGGCCAGCGACTCGATGGGGCACTATGCGGTATGTCCTGAATTTCGACGGCTGGGTTTAGTTCTCGCCCCTTGCCTCCATCCTTTTTTTAGCGAAGAGTCCTGGTTCCGATGTTTAACCTTTTATTGCCCCTCCCCCATTTTTTAAGCAGCGATTAATATGTGCGAGCCTCTTGGATGGATTCCTCTTTGTCCAAGCTAGCTTCCGCGAGGGGTCCAGGCTGTCGCCGATGGATCTCCTCAAAGGCCGCATCCGCTTGCACACTCGGCGACACCGCAAGGTTGCTCGTGCCTGGTCTGCCTCTTCCTAGTAGGGGTCTTATATACCTTTGCCCCCCTGGGGCTTGTGGCTCACTGTCCCTTCTGGGATCTGCGGAGTCGTACGCTGTACATGTACCATTATGTCGTCCTGTTGCTCTGTTCTCCCCGTGCACCGCAGGGGGCAGCGGGCTTGGCCTCGCTCTCTGCTGATGCCCGTGTCGGGGTTCCCCGAAAGCCGCTCTCTCTGCTCCTCTTGGGGTCCTTTGCGCGGCCCGTGTTTCCCCAAACAGTGCTTCTTGCGGCGTCCATTGGCTGTGGCAAGTGACAAGCCTTGCTTCAGCTGTATTGGCCGCCGACTATTCCTCTTTAATTTTGCTGCCGCCAGGTTACCCATGAAGTACCGCAAGGCTCCGCTTGCTCCCTGAGAGAGATTTTGCGAGGGCAGGGGCTGTTTTCCTCGATCGTCGCATGGCCACGGGCTTAGCTTCTGATCGACCCTCCCTCTCTCTCTCTCTCTCTCTCTCTCTCTCTCTCTCTCTCTCTCTCTCTCAGGGTATGCACTCAGTGGATTTTAGCAGTTGTGCTGCAGGAAGTTTTTAGTTATCGATTTAGCTCCCATCTTGAGAGATGGATCTGGACTGGACTAACTGCATCGGTTGTCATCTCTCATTGCCGTCGGTCCTTGAGGGGAAAAATCATCATCGTCATCACCATCATCATCATCATCATCATCATCATCCGCAGCGTCATCATCATCATCATCGTCACCATCATCTTCATGTCCGTGTTCTTGAACTGGTAGCGGGGCCCCTCCGTCTCCAGTGGCGCCTGGTTCTGGAAGTTCTGGAATTGCAAGTGTTGGTGGTTGTGGCACGGGTGCAGGCGGGCCGAGCACCCCTCCGCAGCCGCTGAAACGTCCCTGCGTCGTGGGCACTTGCTTAGGCGGATCGCCTGCAATCACGGCGTCCGAGCGGATGTCGATGTAGTTGCGAGCTCCGTTGGTGCTCGACACGTTGAGCAGGGCGTGGTTGACGTAGGTGTTCATGGCCAGCAGGTTGTCCTCGGAGGCGAATTGCACAGTTTCGGGAGCTGCAAGTGATGTAGTGTGTCCGCACCGTGGCCAAACTGCATGTGCTGGCAGCGTCGGTGGTCTCGGCGACGTCGTCGGCGAAGTATTTAGGGTTGCGGACTTCGTGCCCGATGACTCTGGCAGGGGCGAGGCACCGATGCGAGATGTCGGAGCTTTCGCCTGGGTGGAAATTGGCATGTCGGAAGTGGACGAAAAAGCAGAGGGGAACTGGCCCCCTCTTGGGGCGCGCTTTGCGCACATGGCTGGAACGCCAGTGCGGCATGCTGGACAGTCTGCGCAGACACCTCGCTCGAAGTCCCCGCGGAGGAGGGGGGGGGCACGGTCCGAGGCACGGCGCCCGGAGGCACGGCACGCAGCGGGAGGCGGTGCCTCGGCCGCCCACTGGCGCGCGCCACATCTGCCGCCGCCTCGGCGGCCCCCCGGCCACTCCCCCTCCTCCCTCCTCCCCCCCTCCTCCTCTCCCCTCTCCTCCTCCTCCTCCTCCTCCTCCTCCTCCTCCTCCTCCTCCTCCTCCTCCTCCTCCTCCCCCTCCCTGCTGCCCCCCGGAAGCCCGCCCAGGAGGCCTCCCCGCGGCGCGGCGCGGCGCCCCTCTCGGCGGGTGCCTCCGCGACGACCGCTGAGTTCGATCAGCGTGGCTCACCAAGGTACGGATATGAATGGAAAATGGCACGGGTAGGCAAGATGCACGGGTCAGTGAAGGCGACGATGGCAGAATGACAGGTTCGATCCCGCGAGGGCGAAATCGTGGAAGCCGATCACCATGTCGCGACCCAAGAAGGAGTCAGCTATATCATAGCACTGCTGGATGGCAGCCAGCTCGCTCGAGCAATCGCCCCACGATCTCGCAAACAAAATGATTGGCGTACATCATGCAGGGCGGAGGAATGTAAGCCTTGGCGTGGGCCGTGGTCCATTTCCCGCTTTCTTGAACCCTCTGGTGGGTGATGCGCTGGTGATCCCCCGAACGCGTCCCGCTCCAATGCGATGAAGTCATGATGAATGAATGCTGCATGACGCGTGGCTGTGATGCGCACGTGGCATTGCGGTAAGCTGTAAAGCATGGGCACCAACACGACGCTGATGCAGGTCAATATCCCCAGCTTCTTGTTGCGAGACAACATGGGTTCGTTGTGTTTGGCAGTCGTAAAATGGAAGGTGCCTGCGGCCTGTGGCTCCTAGACGAGTGATCGGGCACCACCTAGAATCTGGGCCAGTACACGTTCGATCAGGAGACGATGGCCGTCTTAAGCAAAGAACTCCACATCTTCACCTGGGCCTTTTCCCTGCTCGTGCGAGCCCTTAGCCTAGAAGGGTGATTCGGGCTGCCGATTGGCCATGTATGTCTAGAACCTATAGGCCCACCAGGCCTTTCACGCGGTGCCTGCCAATGACCGCCATGACTCCGCACACGTGGCCGTGTCCGAGGAGCTTGCGCCAGCACGCCACAGCCTCGAGCGAGGACAAGTCTCTGAGCACCAAGTAATTGGCCAGTTAAGGAGGCAGAACCTGAAAAAACGCACACCCTGAAGCCAAGTTGAAAGTCATGGAGGTCCTCAGAGCGACGATGCCCTGAGAACAGGTTGAGGATCGCCTGTTCTTTTCAGGAAGGGGGGAGCGGCTTGGCTTCGGTTTCACGCGGACCTGACTGGAACCCGTCCCTGGACCTTCTCGCCCCCACCTCTCCTCATCCTCCTCATCCTCACCCTCCCTCCAATTGTCGCAGCGAATCCGTGCTTCCGCCTTAGGCCGTCGAGCACTGGCATGCCGCTCCTTCATATTCGCTCGGACCTCTTTTCCCGCGGTCCACTGCTCGATCGCGGCGAAGCCCTCCCTCCGGTAAAGTCAGTGCGCCGGCCTCCCTTCGAATGGATCGGCGCGCCTCAGGCCTCGCCTGGTCCTCACCCTCCCTCCCTCCCGCATCTATATGTGTTGGCTCAAGGCCGCGCCGGGGTGCCCCCCTCAGGCCCACTGCTGCGGCGGCACGGCCCCGCCGCGCCCATGGTGCACACTCCTCCTTGGCGCCGCATCGAACAATGAAGCCTGCTCGGTCCTTCTCGGGCGTGAGGCAGGCCGCCTTGCTGTGCCTGCTGGCGCTTCCCGAAGGGCCGTCGGCGGCCGACGCGGCCGCCGCCGCCTCCGCCCAGCTCGGCCGCGTCGGCCGCCTGCCCGCGCCCAGGTCCGCCCCCGCGTCCCGCGCGCTGCTGCGTCACCCGGAGGCGCGAGCGCGCGGCCGCGCGGCGGGGGGCGCCGACGTCCTTCGTGCCGTCGGAGGCCACCGGAGGCTGCCCCGACGCCTCAGGCTGGCGGGTGCGCAGAAGTGGGCAGGGCGAGGGGAGTGGCTTTCCAAGAAGGCAGGGGGCTTCTGTCGGAGGGGAGCGGCCCCTCCCCACAGGCTTTAAAAGAAGGCTTCCTGGAAGGCAGGACAGCTTCCACGAGGCCGTGTGCCCTTTTAGAATGCTGCCCTTTTTGCCCCGCCCGCTGAGCGCACTGCCGACCAGGGCCACCCTGCTGCAGGCCATGGGCGGAAGCCGTCGCGCGCGGCTGGGGCTCCGCCAGAACCGCTCGGGGAGGGCCGAGGTGGATGCAGCCAAGGCGTCGACAACACGAAAGACTGACCCTTCGCCGGAGTGACCTTTTGGTGCGGGCTCACCAGGGCCCCCCCGATCGCGGAGCGCGATGCAGTGCGATCATGGTTGCTTGCGCGCTTGGATTTGGCCACCTTGAGCCTCCGCAATGCGCGCACGAAAGGTCACTCTTGCCTAGGGTCACTCTTGCGTGTAGCCGACAAGGCAGCGCTCGGCCAGCTGGTAGAGGAGACGACCCAGAAGCTGGACATCGAGCGCGTCAGGTGCTCCGAGTATAAAGACCGGCAGAAGCGAATCCTCGAGGAGGCTTGGCAGGACATCGCCGCCCTCCACTCAGGCGCGGTGGCAGCCCGCGCGAAGATTCTGAGGGCCCAGTACGGCCTCCACCAGGCGCAGAGCGAGCTGCCGAAGCTGCGGGACTCCATGGACGCGCACAGCCGGAAGTGCAGCTTTGCCCACGACTCCCTGCAGGGGCAGATTCAGATGCTGGCCGGCGACCTCGGAGCGCTCGGCGACCTGGGCGTGTGCACGGACGCTGCGTCGCTGCTCCAGTGCCGCCACTCCTCGCGCAGGCACGGCCACCACCACGACAAGGTCCTTGTCGCCTTCGGCAACGAGGTCTCCGCCCGAGTGCGATCTAAGTTCACCCGTTCGGCCCTTCAGCATGCGTTCCAGAGGGCAAACGCGGCGAGGACCGACGGCGACCTGGCGACCGCGCTGCTGGAGACCACCAGGCAGAGCCGGCGACTGCGCCGCGGTCGCACGACAGCTGGCAGCTCCCGGCTGGGCCTGAACACGTCAAGCTGCACGAGGGCGCGCAGTGCAGACTGTGGCACCATGAACGCCGAGTTCTTGAAGGTGCAGGCGGGCCTCATCGACAAGTGGGAGGACCTGAAGGAGGAGCTCGGGCGGAACCAGGCCGACTGCGAGGCCGCCGCGCGCTCCTTCGGGGCGCAGATCGCCACCTTCCAGGCCCAGCAGCGGGACGGTAACGTTGCGCTCGCCGATGGGACGAAGGACTTGAACCTGAAGGAGGGGGAGGCTCGCATGAAGAGCCTCCAGGTCGCCGACCTCCAGAGGGACCTCGAGAAGACGACCGAGGCTTGCCAGGCCAGCGTGGACAGCTTCGAGAGCGAGCTGTGCAGCCTCCGGGCGGTTCGCGTGGAGGTGGACAAGATGTCCGGTGGCGACGGTGCCTTCCAAGACTGCGCAGTAACCGATTGGGTGCCCGAAGCTTGCTCGGCCACCTGCGGCGGGGGCACCCAGGTGCTGCGGAGGCAGACCGTCTCGCCCCCGAGCAGCGGCGGCGTCGGGTGTCCCCCGCTGGAGCTCGAGCGCAAGTGCGCGGAGCAGCCCTGCCCGGTGGACTGCGAGCTGGACTCCTGGAGCGAATGGAGCGCGTGCAGCGCGGCGTGCGGAGGCGGCGTCAGGCAGCGCATCCGCAACCCCAGGGTCGAGCCCGCACATGGCGGCCAGGCCTGCGAGGAGACCGGCGAGACGGAGGGCTGCAACCTCGAGGCGTGCGACCGCGAGTGCGAGCTGTCCGACTGGAGCGAGTGGTCCACGTGCTCCAAGATGTGCGGCGGTGGCTCGATGGCCCGTGGCAGGGAGGTGATGACGGAGGCAACGGGCGGCGGCACGTGCCCAGACTCGGACGGTCGGTTGGAGCACGTGCCCTGCAACATGCAAAACTGCACAAACGCCACCGTCCCCGACGCTGGCGTCCTTTGCCGGTCCAAGCTCGACGTCGTTCTTGCCATCGACGGGAGTGGCTTCCGCAACGACGGAGACTGGGCTCACGTGATCAATGCGAGCGTCCAGCTTCTGAACCGGTTCACTGGAGGTGCCGAGCTGGCTAGAGTGGGAGTCCTGCTGTTCAGCGGCCCGTCTGACCTCGCCACTTACCGGGCCTGCACACAGGGCATGGGCCAGGCCGCGCCCGACTTGGAGACCCAGTGCCGGTCCTAGAGAAGAAGAAAACGACACGATCATCACTTTTCAGAGGTCTGCACGGAGTTCTTCGGGCTGCGCTGGGCGCCGCCCAAGGAGCGACCAAAGAATTCCGCGCGGACGTTTGAAGGTCCGAGTGGGGGGGCCGATCGGTGATTCACTGTCCCTGTGCGCGTGGCTGAGGTGAGGTTCTGCGATGCGGATTGTTGTTGTTGATGTTGATGCTGATGTTGATGTGGTTTGGTGGTGTTGTTGTGGTTGTTAGTGTTGTTGTTGCTGCTGCTCTTGTTATAGTTGTTGTTGCTGCTGCTGTTGTTGCTGTTGTTGTTTTTGCTGTTGTTGTTGTTGAACTCTCGCTGCTAAGAATAATTGTTGTTGATCCCCCTCCAGGGCACATTTCGTTTTTCAATTGAAGTGCCCTTTCCTTGTTGCAAATTAGGGAAATTATTGGGTTTCAGAATTGTGTCTGTGGCCCCTGATGTACATCAACAACAAACAACAGCTCCCGCCAGAGATTTCCTTACAATGTATTCCCAAATGCGCTCTCGCGCAATACCTCCTCACAGTGTATGCAGAAATCGTGCTCCCGCGTGGGACTCCTCGCAATTATTCAGGCGCCGCGCCCTCGACACTCAGGAATCACGCTCTCGCTGCGGATTTTCTCACCGTTTATTTGGGAGTCGCGCTGTCGCTCGAGACTTCCTCGCGATTCATGCAGGACGCACGCTTCAGCAACCCGCCTGCTCGACCTGGCCGCCTGGGCCCGCCTTCCCGACCCGCATTTAGGGTCTACCCGCCCGATCTGCCCGTCTTGTTCTGCCACATGCTTTCTGCTCCTAGACCCCCCCTACTATTCTCTCTCGTGCTCCATCCTCCTCCCTTTCCCCTTGTCCCTTACTTCCATCCGTCCCCTCTTCCCCTGCCTTAGGGGATGCACGAAATACACGTCGCAGGTAAGATAGATATACACCCAAGGGTGTACGATCGAAGACGAAGAGGGCGGGTATCGAGGGTTCGAGATAGAAGCTTGAGTGGCACGCGAGCAGATATGAGCGAACAGTCTTCACATGAGTGTTGTTGTTGCTGTTGCTCTTGTTGTTGTTGTTTGTTGTTAAGTGTTTGTTGTATGTTGGTGTTTGTATGCTGCTTGTTGTTTGTTGTGTTGTTTGGTGTTGGTTGTTTGTTGCTTGCTGGTTGTTGTTGGTTTCGTGGTGTTGGTGGTTTGTTGCTTGTTGTTTGGTGTGTGTTTGATGTTTGTTTGGATTTGGTTGTTTGTCGATCGTATGTTGTTTGTTGTCTGTTGTTTGTTTATTGTCTGTTGTTTGTTGTTGTTTGTTGTCGTCCACCCCGCGACTCGGCCCACCACCCACCCGCGACCCACCCGCGACCCACCCGCGACCCGGCCCGCGACCCACCCCGCGACCCGCCCGCGACCCACCCGCGACCCATCTGCGACCCAGAGGCGACCCACCCAGGACCCAGCCTGCGACCCACCCCGCGACCCACCACATTGGTGTAACGAAAAAATCGGCGCCTGCGGCGAGCTCGTTGTTTGACTAAATTGTAAAATTAAGCACCTGCGGCAGGCTGTTTAACAGCCTCGCAGACTGCTGATGTTCCCGCCCGCCCCCTCACTCTTATTCGCAACTGCGGGGGGCTGTGTTTATGTTACAGCTCTTCAACTAGCTGTTCTCCAGGTTCACCTGGCCGAGCCGCCTCACAGAGGACATCGCCTCCGCCGCTGCGGCAGTCGCCGAGCTGCCGCGGCCCGGGGGCACGGCGCTGACCGCGAGGGCCGTCATGGCGGCGATGCAGGATCGGGCGGGGCTAGAACGACGATAAACCCGTTCCAGAGCGTCCCGCAACGCTCTCAGAGCGCTTCGGAACGCTCTGAGAGGGCCGCGGCGCCCGACACATCCTCCAAAGCCGCCAGATCTTAGAGATCTCGTCCTGGCCTCGTCTTACAGGAGCTCCGGGGCAGCCGGCACGGCGCCGAGTCGGTCATCGTCGTGTTGACAGACGGCGCGCCCATGAGCTCCCGGGCGATGGGGCAGGTGGCGTCCAAGGCTCGGGCAGCTCAAAGGAGGATTACCTCCAGGGGGGTCGCAGCCTCCTACCGAGGGTCGAGGGTCGAGGAGGGGGAGGAGGCTGAGAAGGAGGCGGAGGAGGAGGAGGAGGAGGAGGAGGAGGAGGAGGAGGAGGAGGAGGGAGGACCGAAGAAGTTTCTGACATCGTTCGGGGTGCATCTGGCGGGAGGGCGGGGGTCCCCAGGGGTGCCCCGCCCTCCCCCAGGAAGAGGTCGTTAGCCCCCTGTCGGGGGTGACCTCCCACGGCAGTGCCCGAAAGGTCCGCGGCACCGCGCGGCTGATGTGGGTGCCGGTCTCCTCGCGGGCGCCCCTCGAGCAGATCAGGGCCTGGGCTTCCCGGCCGGTCGAGGAGAACGTGCTCCCAGCCGCAGACGCCGCCGCGTTGCAGGATCGGCGGCGAGCCCGGGGGGGAATTGAGGAGGGGCGGGCCTTCTCCTCAGAAGGCTCGGAAGTCCCCCGGCCTTCTGCCAGGTTCTCTCAGCTGTTCCGAAGACGCAGAAAAATCCTCAGAAGGCGCGAGGGTTTCTGAGAAGTACCGCCGCCTTCTGAGAGGGCCTTCTCCTTCTCACCTCCCCCCCTCCGCTCGCCGCCGAGAGGAGGCACCAGCCATCACGCGGATCGTCTCCAGCATCTGTCCGAAGCTATCCGGCATCGTCCAGGGTTGATCTCGTGTTGGTTGGGGCAGATGTAGGATGGCTGAGACTACATCGGCCAGCGGACTTGCCTCGATCGCTCGGGCCGTCAATCAGCCGACCGTCGAAAAGTGAAGGCAGGGCCACATGCTGTGGTGTTGTGAACCTTTGCCTTTCGCCCGCGGGGAAGATAGGGTCGCTCCTTCCCTCCCCCCCCCCGCAGAGGGCGTCCTCCGCCAAAAATCGCGGCTCCGCGGACCTCGGCCCTTGGCGACAAAGCAAGCTTCCCGGGGGCCGAAGTCGCGGGACGCTCGTCGTCAGAGCTCTGGGCCTCGAGGACGGGAGCCGTACCCCCTCTCGAGGAGCGCCGTGGGGCCCCACGCAGAGTCCTGGCGGGGTCTCCGTGACGGGCCTTCCTCGACCGCATCTGTAACGCAAACGCCCCGCACGTGCATGAGATGGCGACACTCCCTTGGCGTCAGCTTGCTTCGCCAGCTGTGCTCACTGCGCTAAGATCTGCGTTGCTCTGATGTGTTTTGTGAGTTCAGTTGTTGTGATGTGCTTTGCTTCGCTTTGGGGTTTCAACTGCGGTAGTCTGCTGTGCTTCTCGCTTTAGAGCGCAGTGCAGTGCATTGAGTTGGAAGTGGGTTGCTTTGCGTGGCCTTGTTTGTCCTGCCCTTTCATCGCAACGCAAAGCAGTGGTCTGTAAAGCAAGCGCAATGTACAGCGATGCAAACTAATGCTTCGTGAAGAAAGAGAAGCGCTTCACTGGTCATGATCAAGAACTCCCTCCTCCTGTCGCTGTCGTTGGCGGCTCTCGGAGCGGTCGGCGCAGCCGTGAAGCCCGAACGGTCGCCCAGGGGTTCTCGCTTATTACTGTTCAAAGAGGCTACGAGGGGGGACGGTGACCAAGAGGGGGCGACACGTCGTCATCCTCCTCCTCCTCGTCATCCTCCTCCTCCTCGTCATCATCATCATCATCATCATCATCATCATCATCATCATCATCATCATCATCATCATCATCATCATCATCATCATGATCATCATCATCATCATCATCATCATCATCATCATCATCATCATCACTATCCTTCCCGTGCCTCCTCGTGCTCCTTCTCCCCCCAATAATCCCCGTCCTCCTTCCGCCTCCACCCCGTCGTGGTCCTCTTCGTTCCCCGAAGCCGCCAGGATCTGGGGGGTGGGGGTTGGTGTCGCCGCGTTCCACGGTGCTTTGGCCTCACCCTGCTACACTGTGTACCTGATGCGGCCAGGGCGATCGGCTATGTCTGCAGGACGTGAGGGGTCACGCAGGTATTACGGCTGCGCCTACAGATCCGGATTTGCAAAGAGCGCGTTCTGTGGTCGCTTGGAGGGGGGGTTTGGAACCGGACCCCCCCCCTGGATATCGAAGGGGGGGGGGCTTCGAACACGCCCCCCCTTCCCGTGATGAAGGGGGGGGTGTTCGAACCCCCCCCCTCCTCCTCTCTCCCTCTCCTCGGGCCGGCGCCGGCATCGGCGGCGGCTGGCGGCGGCGGCGGGGACGACGACTTCCTTTTCTGGGCCAGCGCCGGTACCTGCGGCGGCGGGCGGCGGCGGCGGGGTGCGTCGACGAGGAAGGACGACGGTGACGACGATGACGACGACGGCGACGCTCCGCCACTGTGCACTGGTTTTGGGTCAGAGTCCCAGTGGATGCCTCTTGGTCAAGGTCTCGTCGGAGGGCTCTCGGGGGCTCTGAAGGGCATTTGTAAAGCCTCCTGGGCGCCTCTTGGGCATCTATTGGGGCCTCTCAGAGGTGGTGGTGGTGGTGGCGGTGGTGGTGGTGGTGGTGGTGGTGGTGGGCTGTAGTGGTGGTGTTGGTGGTGGTGGTGGTGGTTGTTGGTGGTGGTGGTTGTGGTGGTGGTGGCTGGTTGTGGTTGTGGTGGTGGCGGTGGTGGTGGTGTTGCGGTGGCTTCTGGTGGTGGTGGTGGTGCTGGTGGTAGTTGTGGTTGCGGCTCAAGGTGGTGGTGGCGGTGGTGGTGTGGTGGTGGTAGTGGGTTGTCGTGGTGGCGGCGGTGGTGGTGGTGGGTTGGCGGTTTGTTGTGGTGGTGGTGGTTGTGGTGGCGGGTGGCGGTGGTGGTGATGGTGCTGGTGGTGGTGTGGTGGTTTGTGGTGGTGGTGGTGGTGGTGAGTTGTGGTGGTGGTGATGGGTGGTGGGTAGTGGTGGTAGTGGTGGTTTGGTGGTGGTGTGGTGGTGGTTTGTGGTGGTGGTGGCTTGTGGTGGTGGTTGTTGTGGACGTGGTGCTGGTGCTGGTGGTGGCGGCGGTGGTGGTGGTGTGGTGGTGGTTTGTGGCGGTGCTGGTGGAGGTGGGTCGTGCTGCTGGTAGTGATGGTGGTGGTTGTGGCGGTGGTGGTGATGGTGTGTAGATTGTGGTGGTGGTAGTGGTGGTGGGTTGTTGTGTTGGTGGTGGTGGTGGTGGTGGTGGTGGTGGTGGTGGTGGTGGTGGTGGTGAGTTGTTGTGGTAGTGGTGGTGGTGGTGGCTGTGTTGGTGGTGGTTGTGTGGTGGTTTGGTGGTGGTGGTGGTGGGTTGAGGTGGTGGTGGTGGTGGCGGTTGTGGTGGTGGTGGTGGTGGCGAGCTAGTTTGTGGTAGTGGTGTTGCTGCTGGTAATATTGCTGGTGGTGGTGGTGGGTTGTGGTGATGGTGGTGGTGGTGGCGGTGGTGGTGATGGTAGTGGTGGTAACGGTGTGGTGGTTTGTGGTGGTGGTGGTTGTGGTGGGTTGTGGTGGTGTTGGTGGTGGTGGCGGCGTTGTTGGTGGTGGTGGTGGTGGTGTAGTGGTTTGTGGTGATAGTGGTGGTTGTGGTGGTGGTGTTGGTGGTTGTGGTGGTTGTGGTGGTGGTGGTGGCGGTGGTGGTGGTGGTGTGGTGGTCTGTGGTGGTCTGTGGTGGTGGTGGTGGTTGTGGTGGTGGTGGTGGTGGTGTGGCCTTCGGCTCTTCCCGCACCGTGTTTTGGCTTTGGGTCTGAGTTCTAGTGGATGCCTCTTGAGGTCTCGTCAGAAGGGTCTCGGGGGCGTCTGAGGAGCATGTGTGAAGCTTGGTGGACCTTCCTAAGGGCCTCCTTGTGGCTTTTGGGGGGCGAAGGCTCGATATGGCGATTTGTGTGCTCCCTCTGCGGCCTCTGGGTCCTCTCTGGTCATCTTCGCTGCGTCCCCGCCGTCGGCGCCGCTGGCCGCCGCCAGAGCCGGCGCCGGGGGTGGGAGGGCGGTTTTGGACCCCCCCCCTTCCCATGAGCCCTCTCTGGTCATCGTCGTTGCGTCTCCGCCGTCGGCGCTGCTGGCGGCCGCCAGCGCCGGCGCTAGCGCCGACGCCGGAGAGGGAGGGGGTGGAGTTTGGACCACCACCCCCCCCTCGTCGGAGGGGTGGGGGGATTCGGGAGGGGGGGGGTTCTAGAGGGAAGGAGAGTCCCCCTGGTTCTGATCGACGGCGCCGAGTTTTGGCGAGGGGGCTTGGCCCATCCCCCGGTTCGAAACGCGCCGCCGGATGCTCCCAAGGCAGACGCCCGTGAATCGCGTTCTCTCTGATCTTGAGACACTTTGAGTCATGAAGGAATTGCTGAGCTTTCCGGTCGGTGTCGGACCAGGCTCCAAGCTGGGAAACATCGCGGTGGCTTCTGGCAGGCGTGGGCTCCACTCAGTGGATGCTGCTGTGCAACCATTGGCACGGGGGCCCAGTGTCAAGTCCCCTGGCCGGAAAGCTCGGCGCTATGCGCTCCAGGGTTATATAGCTGGCAGACGAGCCAATGATTGCGACCCACTAGTCGTGTAGCCTTCGGCCTGGGTTCGCTTACAAGGCACGCGAAGCTGTAGTATACTTCGTGGTGCCTTGCTTTTCAGCAGTGTCATTGGCAGCGAACTCGTGAAGCACAGTTCGCCGTCTCCACGTTAGTTTCTGGATTTGCGCGAATTTCCTCATACTGCTTGGGTTCACATATTCGGCAGGGCTGTCAACTTGGACGCATTCCCAGGAAAGTTGGAGTTTTGTATCGTTCTTTGCGCAGCTGTGCCGATTCGTTGTGCTATCGACATCCTGTTTTCAGGCGGAGACCATCGCAGGTCGCGTTTTGCTCCAACTGGCCTCACGGAACCCATGTGGCTGAACAAGTTAACGCACGCTTGTAGTAGAGGGATGCGTTCTTACAAGATAGCATCAGCGCGCCAGCAAGGGGACAGAGCGTCCCACATGGCCTGGCCTTCGCAATTTCGTACTTGGTTTAATTCGTGTGCTCTCAGATCGGCAGGCGGGTCTATGCCGAGCAGTTCCACAACTTCCAGGAGCACGCCATACCCCTCAAAGCCACCAGGGAATTCCCCAAAAAACACGCGATGCTCCACGAGCTCATCCGAGCGACGCATAAAAAGGGGGGTCATCTTCACCGACGTCGGCGCGTAAGCTGCTCGCGTAAGGTCGCACGCAAGCGCCCTCGTCTCCATTGTGGCTTGCCGCGCTGGCGGCCCGCGTGAGCCACTGCGCAAGGTCGCTGTGCCATCCCGCGCAAGACCCCTTCCTCCTCATCGCCCACCTGGGGCCCCAGACAAAGAGCTGCTGAGCCGCTCCGGAGAGCCTCCGGGAACTTCAGACACCAGGGGGCCTCTTCGACGCAGCCATTCTGGGGTTCGAGGCCCAGCCGCCCTCTGCGTGCGGGGCGTCCGGTCCCTCCCCGTCCTCATATCTCGGGCGGCATGAAGGGGGGGGGGCTCAGCCATGCGCAGAGGGGGTACAGTCGGACCGAGGTATAGGATCGAGGTCGGCTCGGGGAGGGTACCCTACGGATCTTCGTGCTTGCTGCATGTTCTCGTGCATCCTGGGGGAGGGCACCCTCGAGAGATCTTACCGTTAGGGGTGTTTCGGCCGGCGGAGGGTCTCATGTTCTTGAAGGACCTTCTTCTGTCTTAGGTCCGACCGTAAGGATGAGGTGGTTGTGGCAGGGCTTCCTTGAATCCTTGCCCTGTCAGCCCATGCTTCATCATGACGGCCGATGTGCGCCGTTGAGATCGTAGCAGCCCTGGACGCCCAACGACACTGCATCCCCACCTTGCATCCTCTAGGTCCCCCCGCGGGGCCGCGGAGATACTCGCGCTTCTTGAAGTCGCAGTCTGGGCCAGAGCGGCTGCCCTTCTCCAGGGGGGGCGGCGCGAGGGCGCGTGCGCGAAGAGAATCGCGCCATTGCGGGGCGTCATGCGCGAAGTTGTGTGACCCAGATCCTTCTGATGCGCGGCGACTGCACCTGGGCATACCAGACGGTACCAATACCGCTATTCTCCGGATCTGTCCCGGGTTGCCTTCTGACCAGAATTTCGAGGCGAATCCAGCCATGTCGGCCTACCACGAGGCCCAACATGGCGAAAACGAGGGAGGGATAGCGGTATCGGTGCTTTCTTTCCTCTTCTGTGTACCCCGCCCCTACCCCCCCCCCTCGTCCCCTCCGATCATCGCCGCGCGCTGACCATGCGCCTGGCGCGCGCGTAAGCAGCGGCCACCGCGGTGCTGCTCAGCGCCTGCGCCAGCACCGCTCCGCAGCGGCGCGCGGAGATGTCGGCCACTGCCGATGCGGAGCAGGACGCTCCCAGCCCTCGGATTTGTGTGGTCCTTCATGGCATTAGCATCCAATGACGAACGCTACCCCTGTGGGTCCATCCGACGCTGGGGTATCAACGAACCCCGCTGGGGTCCACTCGGCTGCAGACATGGCTGGATTTCTGGGCCCCAGCCGATTTTTCAGAAATCTGACCTGCAGGGATGTCGTCCGGATTTCGTCGGACTTGGTTGGCATGTGGGCGACATCTGGGCGAAATTTGCACGGAAAGGGTGAAGGGGGGTGGTCGAAACCTGGACGACATTTGGTCGAGATCACGTTCACGATAGGGCCGCGGTGCACAGACGCCCTCAGGAAGGCTCACCCAGTCGGATCTGGACGTCGTGAGGAGACCACGGCGGGCGTCTCTGCCCCGCTCAGCCACGCGCATGGGGGGGTAGGGTTATTGGGGAAGGCTTCCTAGAAGCACTCCTGCCTCTCAGAAATTGCGGGCCCTGTCTGTAGATGTAGGGCCGGCGCCTTCTAAGAAGCAGCCTCCTTCTAAGAGGTGTTCGCGCCGCCCGCGATAAGGATGAGGTGTTTGTGCCAGGGTTACCTTGCATCCTTCCCCCTACGGTCGGACCGCGGTATAAGATCGAGGTCGGCTCGGGGAGGGTACCCTACGGATCTTCGTGCTTGCTCCATGTTCTTGTGCATCCTGGGGGAGGGCACCCTCGAGAGATCTTACCGTTAGGGGTGTTTCGGCCGGCGGAGGGTCTCATGTTCTTGAAGGGCCTTCTTCTGTCTGAGGTCCGACCGTAAGGATGAGGTGGTTGTGGCAGGGTTTCCTTGAATCCTTGCCCTGTCAGCCCATGCTTCATCATGACGGCCGATGTGCGCCGTTGAGATCGTAGCAGCCCTGGACGCCCAACGACACTGCATCCCCACCTTGCATCCTCTCTAGGTCCCCCCGCGGGGCCGCGGAGATACTCGCGCTTCTTGACGTCGCAGTCTGGGCCAGAGCGGCTGCCCTTCTCCAGGGGGGGCGGCGCGAGGGCGCGTGCGCGAAGATAATCGCGCCATTGCGGGGCGTCATGCGCCAACCCGCTGCGTGCCCCGGGGGCCCCCTGCGGATCGAGCCGGCTTGCGCGGGGAGGGTGGGGGGCTTCTCGTCACGCCCGCGGTGGTGTGACGAGCGGCGCCGCGTGTCCGGGGCGGCAGGATGCGCTCGGCTGCGGTTCGGGCGCGGCGGTTGTCGGAGGAGGAAAAGGTACTGATAACACTCCGCTCCCCGTGTTTTCCCCCTTTTCGGCCTTCTGGGAGGCCCTCGTCGCCACCGCTGTATTCGTTTTGAAATTCTGGTCAGAACGCACCCCAAGAGAGGTCCAAGGAGTACTGGTATCAGTACCTTTTGGTTTCCCGAGGTTGGACTGCACGATGGAGGTCCTGGGCATGATTCTCTGAGGGGTGCGGCCGCACTGGAGCAGCGCGTCATGGGCGCGGTGCAGGCAGAGCTGGAGCAGTGGCGTCTGCAGGTCCTCGCCGAGGTGAACTGGCGGCTGACGCGCGCCTTCGTGGACCCCCAGCGCGGCGCCAGCACGAACAGCGGGGAATCCGCCGACTGTGCTCTGGGTGGTCTCGAGGAGCGCCTGTCCATGGCCAGTATTGAGATCAGCTCGATCAAACTGGACGTCTGCAAGTTGGGCGACGCTCTTCGAGCCCAGGGCGCCCGCTTGGATGAGCTGGCAAAGGGAACGAGGTGCGCGCTGGGATATTCGCTGCGGCCAGAGGGCTGCCGCGACACCGGGGGCGAGCTGGAGAGCATCCGCGCGACGCTGGAGCAGGTGCGATCGAGTCTGCTAAGCCGGCGGAGGCTTGAGAGCGAGACCAGTCCGATTTTGCCAGTGTCGCCTCGGAACGCGCTGGCGCCCACAACGATCTCGGAAGAGGGCATGGACGTGCGGATCGAGGCCGGCACCACCCAAACATGCTTTCTTGTATGCGCGCGCCGGCCACGCGAGGGCGACGCGCACGCTCGGAAATCTTGTAGTGTAAGCTCCGTGGTGGGCACTTTCTGGTCATACCAATCGAGAAACGATATACTACAAGATGTTGTGCTGCGTATTTCGGTCCGGACGTGCGCCTCCAAGAGGGGCGCATGGTATTGGTATTTCCTTCTGCGTCCCATGAGGCCCCAGCGGCCGACGCGGGCGGCACCGGCAGCGAGCAGCCGTCGGGCGCAGTGTCGCCAGCGGCTTGCGCTCGGCAGGTCGGCGGTCAGGTTTTCCACGTCGCTTCGGGCCCCCCGCCGAACGCGCGCCGGGTCTCGGCGCCGGTGCTGCTGGAGGCGCAGCAAACAATGCACGTCAGGGTCATTGGGCCGTCAGGTGAGCGACGTAGAAAAACGGGTTCAACTGCGCGGACATTCGCGCTTAAGCTGCCCGCGTAAGGTCGCGCGTGCGTGCCCTTCTCTCCACGCGTTGTGCCACGCTGGCGGCCCGCGCAAGCCGAGGCACAAGGCTGCTAACTCATCTTGCGTAAGACCCGCTTCTCTTCGTTGCTCAGGTGGCTCTTCGGTGCACACTCCAGCGCTCAGGACCCCCGGCACCGCCACCCCGACGGCCGCGGGCTGCCAGCAGCTCTGGCTGCCGACCGGCGCTCCAGAAGAGCGGGCCGCGAGGCACGTCGGAGGCGCGCAGACCGTCGGCGCGCGGCCACTGACGCCCGTGCGGGCTGGGCCCCAGGCGCCAGCGCAGGTGCAGAGGCCAGTGGGCCACGCCAGCAGGGAGACGATGCACATACAGCCGGCGCCCACCGGCGGCCCCCCACCGCTGTCGGGCAGCTCCGCCTCCGTGCCCATGTTCCTGCCCGCTGCCGGCTCTGCCAGCGTGCCCGTGCCTCCGACGGCCGCGGGCCGCCCCGGGCAAGTGCCCGTGGCTGTCTGGAGGAGCCCAGGCACCGCCACCCCGACGGCCTCGGGCCGACAGCCAGCGTGGCACACGGGAGCCGGCTGAGAGGGCACGGGGCGCGCGTGAGAATCATTGGCGGCGGCGGGGCCGCGTCGCTGCCAGCGCCAGCCACTCGCGCGGGGAGGCTCCCGAGGCATCTTCTGGGCGCGCACGTGCGCGGCTGGCTCGCCTCACCCCGAGTCTCCTGGGATCGCTCTGCTAACCCAGTCCTCCCGGTCGAGCGATGTGGCTCGTCACCCCAGGACGACCTCTTGGGCCTGCCCGCAGAGAGGAGCGCTGGGCTATGCGGCTAATGGCGCGCTCTTCTTGCGGAGACGACAGAGAGGATGCCAAGTATGCACACGCACACACACACACACACACCGACACACACACACACACAAGCACACACACACACCGACACACATATATATATACATACATACATACATACATACATACATACATACATACATACATACATACATACATACATACATACATACATACATACATACCCACACACACGGATCCTGCGCCCAGGATCCGCGTAGTCATTCGCGTTCCAGGCCCAGACAGGAAGGAGCGTCCATCGATCCCGGGCCCAGGATCGGACTGGCTAGGATCGGTGTTTGTGCATACGTGGCGTCCCCGGTTCGCTCTTGCAGTGCATTTCTTGGGCGTCGCGTAATGGGGGGGGCGACCAAAGGGGGGGCAGCGAGGGCTGCAGAAAAGGGGCCCTCCAGGGATGTAGGTCCAAAAGGAGGCCTTTAGGGCCCGAGAAGTGCACATTTCTTCCCCCCCCCCCTCCACTTATCGCCCCCCCATTAAGCAACGTCCGAATTTCTCTCACGAAGAAGGTGTCGGTGCGTCCAGCCTTTTCGCCCCTCCTTTGCTCCCCGACCTTCGCCTCGCGAAATGAGGGAAATCCTTCGCTGGAAGCGTTCGTTGGGGAATGCGCCCAGGAGGCGTTCAGACCCTGGAGGATTCCTCATCTGACGAGGGCGGCGGTGACTCCACTGGTGCTCCACCAGCTTTTTCAGACCCTGGACTCCTTATTCAATGGTTCCTTGTCCAATGCTCTCAGCGCATATCTGTTTGGCTTGTTGGGCCTCGGGGGATTTTCACACAGCGGCTGTGCCCGCTCCCCCTCCTCCGCGCTCCCGGACACGGGCTCGCTTTTTGCAGGCTGCAGTGGCGCAGGCACGTTGTGATGCTGCGGCGGGGGAAAAGCTTCCCGACCGTCACCTCCCGACGACGACAGCGCGACGACGCGCCGCCCTCATTGTGCCGAAGTGCCGTCCCCAACCGATTTCCTGTGCTCTCCTCGTTCCTCCAACATGCACACGCCCACCAATGCTCCTCCTCCTCCTCCTCCTCCTCCTCCTCCTCCTCCTCCTCCTCCTCCTTCTCCTCCTCCTCCCTCTCCTCCTCCTCCTCCTCCTCCTCCCACGAGTCGTCCTCGTCCCCCTTCCCCTCCTACCTCTCCTGCTCTCTCTCTCTCCTCTCTCTCTCTCCTCTCTCTCCTCCTACTCCCCTCCTCCAGCCCCAATGAGCCCCACAAAGCAGGCAAGGATAGTCGAAGCGCCCAGGATCCCCCCCCCTCAGATCCCCAAGAGGCCGGCCGCCCATAAATTCTTGGACACCCCCTGGTCGAGAACCTGCAGGACCCCCAAAGCATCATCCAGGAAAACTAGAAAGGTCCCCTGCAAGGGCGCGCGACGACAATCGCAGTTTGCGCTTCGCGGCCTGGCTCGCAGAGCTGCGTGTTTTTTCCAGCAGGTGGCGTGAGAGCGCGAAGAATGACGGGTTTCGCAATTTGCGAAGCCGGAAGCCGAGTGACCTGAAGGATGTCCTCTGCCAGGTCCAGACGCATCCAACCACACTTCTGGCGTCACTCCTGTTCCGTGCATGGTCTCTGGAGCCCTCGGCCGCCGACCCCTCGACCGTGTTCTCACCCCGTGGTGTCTCTCGGACGGCTGTGTGGGCCGACGAGGATCGAGCGGGGTCTCCCGCTCCCAGGTCCTCCACAACGGCCGTGCGTGCAGTGCCGTCTCGTTTGGTGTCACGAGTCCGCCGAATGCCTGGATACCTCTCCCTGGGATGCAATTCCTTGGAGGTCAAATTCTGATGTTTCACTTGTCCGAAGTCCGGCTTAATCCGGCTTAATCCCGCTTAATCCCGCTTCATCCCGCTTAATCCCGCTTAATCTGGCTTAATCCCGCTTAATCCGATGCTCAGCCGGGCGTAATAGCTCCCACATGGGGCTTAATCCTCCTTAATCTTTCCGACGAAAACCTCCCAGTAGTTGCCTCCTAACTCTCCGCCGCAGCCGTTTTGGCTCGGGCACCTCCGTGGCTCTCCCGCCATGCCCCAGACCTTTCCCTGGAGCGCGCCGGGGCCAAGATTTCGAGGCGGGCCAGGCCGTGGCGGCGAGGGCCCCCCTTGCGGGAGAAGAAGAGGAGGTCTCCGGAGGCCGCCAGGCGCCGAACAAAAGCCAAGACTCCTCGATCGGGGGAAGAGAACGAGGAGGAGGAGGAGGAGGAGGAGGAGGAGGAGGAGGAGGACGGGGCTGGGACGAGGATAAATCCGTTCCAGAGCGTTCCAGGACACTTCCAGAGCGTTCCGGAGAGCTCTGAGAAGGCCGCGGCGCCCGAGGCATCCTCCAGAGCCGCTGGATCTTAGAGATTCTCGATTCGTCCCCACCGGATTTTATCCTCGTCCTGGCTTCGTCTTATCAGGAGGAGGAGGAGGAGGAGGAGGAGGAGGAGGCGGAGGTCGCTGCAGCCGCTTCGGCTCAGGCGCCTCCTGTGGCTCGCTCGCCACGGGACGAGAAGCGGGGTCGGCCTTGCGAAGATCCGCGCACAGGCAGATCTCGCAGGGTCACGCGTGAGCGCCTGCTCTGCGCCCCGCGCTTGCGGCCTACATCCGCGACCGCGTGAAGCCGCCGCGTCTCCTGGGTTTTGCCCTCGGCCCTCCTCGAGGATCGAGGAGGGGCTTCAAATGTTTTCGGACGGTGATTTGACGTTTTCTGCCCTGTTCGGGCCTCCAGGACCCCCGGGGACCTCCAGGGGTCAGGATCCAGGGCGGGAGCAAAACTTACCAGCCGCGTCGTCGCGTGTAAGGGTCTCTTGTTCCTCGGCGCTCGCCCCTCCACTAGGCGCCCCGTCTTGGGGGCCCCTCTGGGCCATCGTGGGGCCATCTTTGTGCGCTTTGGGGCCGTCTTGGAGGTCTGTGGGGCCGTCCTTGCGCCGTCTTAGGGCCCTCTTGGCCCGTCTTGGGGCCCTGCTGAGGGCTTACAGGGGCCGTCTTGGGGTTGTATTGGAGGCCCCTGGGACCGTCTTCGGATGTCGAAAGCCAAGGATGGCGAGAACACGAAAACTATTGAAACACCTATGGGATGTGTTTGATTTGGGCATCTTGAGGGTTCTCTTAGAGCTCTCTTGGGACGTCTTGGGGGCTTCTTGGACCGTCTGGAGGGCATCTTGGGCCGTCTTGGAGCCTCCTTGGGCTGGCTTGGAGGTCATCTTCATCGTCTTGAAAGCATGTCTTGGGCAGCCTTGAAAGGGCATATTTAGCCATAGTGGCCGTCTTCAAGGCCATCTTGGAAGCCATCTTGGGCGTGGCGGAGGAAGCACCTTGATGGTTCTCCTGGAACTTTCCGTGTGGCCAGCGGATTGTGGCGGAGGCCATTGGAAACTTTGTGGAAGAGTTCAAAACCATGAGCACTTCGGTACGCCAGGCACCCTTTTGACAAGCACATCGGGCGGCGCAGCTAGCCTGCGGCAAGTCCCGCCACCGTGCAAGCCCAGCACCTCGGGTGGCGACTGTTCAGAGGACGCGCAGGAGGCCGTAGCTTGCGACACCTCGTGCCCCGAGGTTTGGGAGATCCGTAACATGACACGCTTTTCCGCGCCGTGTCGGGGGTTCTCTTTTCGTTTTCGTCGTTTTCCTCTTTTTCTTCCGTCCGTTCTTGTGCTTCTGTGGGGCATTATCGTGGGTCTTTTGGGTCACCCTTGGGCCGTCTTGGGGTCCGCTTGGGCCGTCCTGGGGCTCTCTTGGGCTGTTTTGGGGCCATCTTGGGGTGTCTTCGGGCTCTCTTGGGCCGTCTTGGGGCCCTCTTGGCCGTCTGGGTGGTCTCTTGGCGCCTTCGTGGGGCCGTCTTGGGCCGTCGAGGGGCCCCCTAAGGGTGCCTTGAACACCTCCAGCGGAGGACCTCTTGGGCCAGGTTGGGGCTCTCTTGGTGCCGTCCTGCTCCGTCTTCAAGCCGTATTGGGTTGTTTGAAGGCCGTATCCGAAGAATATTGGGCAACCGTGGGGCCCCCATATGAGTTGTTTCGGGGCCATCTCTGAGGCATATAGGACAGTCTGAACTAAAGGAAGCCAGGCAACCTGACGTGATCCAGATCTTCCAAAGATTTAGAGACAATCAACTACGTGGGCTTCTTCGGGTCCTTCTGGGTGTCCTCTCGTGGCCCTCTTGGGCCTTCTTGGGGGTAATGTTGGGCCCTCACGGGGTCATCTTGAGCCGTCTTGGAGGCATCATGGCCCACCTTGGCGACCGTGGTTGCCTGCCTCGGCCGTCTTCGAAGCGCACGAAGGCGGACACATGTGCGTTTACCAGCGATCGTGGCCCTTGTTGGAGCGCGGACCTACAGTTCTTCACGAGGGAGCGAGGCGTCGGGAGCGAGGATAAACAAGGTTCCCGGGGGAGACTTACAGAAATGTTGCCATGCAGCACTTGGCAATCTACAACCACGCCTCCACATTCTAGGGGATACGGTGGCCGAATTACTGGCTTTCGTCTGCCATCGTGGCTGTGGCCAAGGTGAGGAGCTTCGTCTTCCAACGTAGCTGGATGCCTTTCTTCGTCCACTGTGGCTGTATGCCTTGACATCTGCTGTCATATGTTGATGCCCGCGTTGGAAAAAGAAAAAAAAAAACAACTCCTCTTCCCCCTCCCCCATGTCTCCCCTCCTGCCCTCCCACCTCCCCCTCTGTTCCCTCATCATTATGCTCCTCTTCCTGCCCTCGTGATCTTCTCCCTCTGCTCCGCCCCCCTCTCA